ACCATTGCCTGACATCTCTATGCAGGTTGACTATTCATATCCCTGTAATATACAGTTTTTATAACAGAATACAAAACAAGTGTGCATCTTTTAGCTTGCACAAAGTTACATTACAGGACGTATCCTTGTTGTCCACCTGGGAGCATCTGCACTTTGCATAGATATTTGTACAGCACATTGAGAATTGCCATTAAAGCAGCAGTTTTCAATAAACCAAAACTGAGGGCCATAACCTATTCATTGCCATATACAGCTGTTGTCTAAAATCCTTGCCCTCATTCAGGAAGCGGTTACTAATGTGTTGTGGGGACATTTCCGACAACCTGTGAAGGGCTTACAACATCAAAGTGCTACAATTGTTTCCTTTGTCTGAAGTTCCCGATCACCATCATGCAATCGGAGCAGAAAAGATGTTTATTAATTGCTTTTTATTCATCATTTATTATTCTGATTACAATCACATCATGCAGTGGTAAGTGTACACAAAAATGTTTATTTTATTCTATCACAGCATACAAGACATCCCCATTAAAGTATTAGGAAAGTTATTATTTTTTATTACATTTACTGTAAATTACTATGACTAAGTAGACACAAGTTACAGCACAAAGATTTATACAGTATGTTATAATGGCATAGGAATATAATGGAAATTGCATGTGCCAGAAATTGCAATAATATAAATGTTAAATATTAATAAAATTGTTCAGACAATGTTTTTCAACCTTTTTAACCAGTTGACATCCGCGGTGTTAAACCCCCTTCCCATCCAGGCCATTTTTCAGTATTCAGCGCTGCGGTACTTTGACTGACATTTATTCCAGACAAATATTGTTACAAAAATGTATATTTTTAAGTTGCACATGCCTGACAAATTATGGAACTATATTTGGGAAAATAATACATAAGAAATATAGAATTGTTCTTTTTACATTGCATTTAACTATGCCAAGCTATGTGTCATGGGGACTAACAGCAATAGTTGTTTGTGAGGGCGACCAGGTGTGCAGTGAGAAAAAGTGAGCTAAAGCATGAGCTCATGTGTAATATTAATTTGTGATTATAAATGCATTTATAAAAGAAGAGTATTCAAAGATGTATACCAAAAACTTGACTTTCAGTCTTCAAGTGCTAGGAACAGTAGTGTACTATAATTATAATAAGGGCAGGAAGCCTGGAAGAACCAAAGCTGTCTTTGTGGATATAATATACTGCAGACTGTTTATTAACAACGAATAAAGAATATAAATGATCTAAATGTTTCCTTTGCTTCAGTTAAAAAATGTATAGATTTAATATTTGACTTGGACTTAGCTGATTTGACTTTTGCTGTTTATTTGCTGCTAATCTGTCTTTGGCTTTCTTGTCTATTTTTTTGTCTGTTTAAAAATGATTTCAGGATATGAAATTAGATGAGTTCAGGTTAAAAACAAAACAAAATACAGTGAAGGGAATTCATCAAAACTGGAGCAGACAAAATCTGGAGCAGCTGTGCACAGCAACCAATCAGTGTCTCCGTATAATTTTAAAATCTTAACTGAACAAACTGAAGAGAGAAGCTGATTGGTTGCCATGGGCAACTGCTCCCGATTTTGTCTGCTGCAGTTTTGGTACATTCCACCCAGTATATCTTCACCTCACATAGCATACACCTTACACTATTGATTACAACACTTTTGTTCACATTATGGTGAAGGTAAAAAGGCTCTAAAGGTCTCCTTTACACCCCCCTGCCCCTCCCTTAAGACCTGTGCATAGCAATACGTATGGTGACACATACATTTTACTGCGTGTTACCACAGTACATAGGAATGCAGGATACACAGCACTATGGTGTATTATATTTTGACATGCGTTTTAGAGCACCAAAACACACAAAAGTGAACCATATGTGTATTCTCGTGTGTTGCAGGGATAAAAATGCCTCAGGTGCTTTATATCCTGCATTGAGAGTGTGCAGTCTTTTCAAAATGGGCTGACTTACTGCATTACATGTCAATGTGCAAAATGCCACAAGTTAACACACATGCTACTGTGCAAATACAGAGGAGATGATTTCCAGATTAAATCAAATAGCACAGAAAGCACACACTTTAGCAATAACTCTAACAGTAAATCCTAGAGTTCTTTTGAGTCTATCTACTGCCAATTTTTTGTTTTGAATTAGGTAGGAAAATGAATAAAACCAGATATTTTACTATCTATATCCTATTGGTGAGATTTCACTTTTTTCCTGTCTGAGACATAAAGGAAGTAAAAGTCTTTTATGTGTGGTCACCAGAACAAGTGACTCCATTTGATTCATGTATTTCTGTTCCAGTGACAACTGTAAAGTTTTGGATTTCCCATCACTTTCTGTCCCAAAGACAATGATCAGCAAGACAAATAGCAAGCATGAATCTCCCCAGCAGACACAGACAACAATAATAACCTGATAGAGGATCTAATCCTTCCCTACTCTATTTAAAACAACAAAACCTGTATTTAGATATACTTAAACTGATTAAGAAAAGTCTACCTTAGTGCACCAGGTGGTTAGCTAGCCAGTACTTCTGCTTTCTTGTTGAGTTCTGAGTCATTTGCCTAGCTCCTCTATCTGCTCTGCTTATCCAGGATATGTATCAGATTTCTTTTTACACTCAAAGTGGGAAATCTCTTGAAACGTTCAACAAGGATAGGCTTGCCGAAGGAACAAACACAGGACAATAAATCATTAAAAGCTTTGCTCCTTAAATACTGGATTCTGAGGCTAAAAAATCCAATATGGCAGAGTCAATTCGCAATGAACCTTGGGCAGATACCACCACTTAATACATACATCATATAAACAGATTAAATGAATGACCAACAGCCAGTTCTCCTTAGAAAATGTATTTTATTAATTAAGGAATAATTTGTCTAGAAAAAAAAAAAAAGCTGCATAGCAACAATTGGTAAAGGAATTATCTGTAATGAATATACAGTAGTGCTATTTGGAGTCTAAGTTGCTCAAAACATTTTTTTGGTCAAAATAAAGCACATACTGTATATTCTCCAACTAAAAGATTTCTAATGTCCATTGTGAAACAACACCATGTTGACAGTGGAAACCAGCAGTATATCCTGGCATGGACAACAATGATTATTTCAAAGTCCAGGCTTGATTGTCTATAATCAGCAGCATTGTCATGGATGAAAAATTTAGAATGGATGTACTTTATGTTAAGAATCAGCCTCCACCATAAATAACCTGTCCAGTGAAGCAACCACTAATTTCCCAGCATTATCCCAGTACTTTTGGGAATAGAGCACCACACATCTGGTCCCAGATGAAGTCAAATCATAAATCCATAAATCATGTTCAAGGGGGCAGGACGTGTCAAATGATGTTGATGTGTTTTTTCCAATTACAGGACTTTGTCAATACAGGTAGTGTCTATAAGGTCTGCCTCATAAAGGGTATTCCCCGCTTATCACTCTGCCCATCATGGATATTTAAGGAGGCAATACCACCAGTTTGGCAAAGAATGCTTACAGTGAATACTGGTACAATCAAATTATAAGGTCATATAATTTTTATATGTTAGATGTCTGTTTTAGATTGACCATTTTTAAGACAAGTCATAAGTCATACTGACCACCAATAATCTCAAGAGCCATATAAACAGTTTTCCTTTTCAAAGGATAAGCATCCTGAAAGTTGAACATCATATGAACATTTTTGGCCCCATTCATGAGATATAGCATATAGCATTTCAAAAGACATGACTGACAGATGCTTACAATATTTTAATATTCCGTGAAGGAACCAGCGCTCATTAAGTTACTGCTGTTGATGGGTCCCTCGGGTCCGAGGCAGACCCTGAACAGTAGATTAGGTGGTCACAGTCCTGTGATTACAACGAGAGCTGATCGCTGTGATTGCAGAGTCACAAAGCCGGCAGCAGCCTACTGTGTTTTGTAAACTGCTACCTGGCTGTGTGTTACAAAAGTGATACAAAGTATCTCTGAGGAGAATACTGTATTACTAGATGAGACTGAGATACTAAGTATCAAAGCCCTGTAAATAAAAAAACACCCTTAATGCCCCCTAGTTTTAAAAAATAAAATAAAAAAAATAAAGTTTTAAAAATGTTTTTAAATATTAAAAAAAGTAAAAAAAGTTTTTTAAAAATACGTTTAATAAAAAAAATTATAAGAAAATATAGTGCTGAGAAGGCATAGAGATAGGAGACACACATACCCCATTCTAAAATTGTTCCAAACTATAATTGTATTTCACTCCTTCCATTTTGTGACCTATAACTTGCAGTGCTTACAAAATGATGGGAGAAAGTACAGTTACAATACAATTTAATGCAAGGGTAAGTAGGCCCTGCTCATGAGAGTTTACAATCTAGTAGGAGCACCATGCGATACAAAAGGCATTAATTATGAGAAATTAAAATAGGTTATGTTCAGCAGAGAAAGACCATGATACCACACCCATCAAAACAGGCATATAGCCTGGTGGGGGCTTTTAAGGTATGCAAACAAGGCCTTCAATTAAAACAAAATAAACTTTATTAATAACAAATAGAACATAGTAGTTAAAAACAGGTTCTCACTACTCCTTGCCTTCCTCCTTCCTTGGTGGTTGCCCCTCCTGTGGTGGCTAGAGAGCAGGTGGTCTTGAGAGGAACAGAGAGGTTGGAGATGTATCTGGGGGCAAATTTGTGGATAGATTTGTAAGTGGTTGTTAATATTCTGGATTTTATGCATGGGGCAATAGGGAGCCAGTGGAGGGATGGGCAGAGAGAAGCAGTGGACACTGAACAGTTTTAATCAGTCTATTATGAATGCAGCTAGAGAGGTGGATGAGTCTGGCAGCAGCATTCATAATAGACTGAAAAGGTCTGCATAGTGGTATGCCATCGAGGAGGGAGTTGCAAGGGTTGTCTTTAGAGATTAGAATGGATCAATTTGGAAGCTTTGTGGTGTTATTTGTTAATAAGGGGTGAATTTTGGAAATGTTGTGGAGGTTAAGTTGGCATTTGGATAGTGATTGCATGTGGGGCTGAAATGAGAAGTCAGAATCAAGGATTACACCAAGCACCCTTGCCTGGTGGGGTTGATCATTGTTCTGTTGATTGATGGAGAAGTTTTGGGGGAGAAAACAAGGAGGGGAGAAAGTATTTTGGGCTCAGTTTTGGACAGGTTTAATTTGAGGAAGTGGTGTGACATCCATGTAGATATTGTCACTGGGTAGATTAGTGATGCGTTAGGAGATAGAATGGGTAAGCTGAAGAGTAGAGAGAACTTGGTGTTCTCAGCATAGAGATAATATTGGAAGCTGTGGGAGGTTATCAAATGACCTGGGAGGACAAGTAGATAGAGAATAGAAGCGGCTCAAGGACAGAGCCTTGGGGGACCCCCATTGACAGTGTTAGAGGAGAGGAGGATAGAGAGTTGTAGATGACACTAAAAACGTGCTGAGATAGGTAGGAGGTAAACTAAAAAAAGAGCAGAGTCGTAGAGACCAAGACAGTCAAGTTTTTTTAGGAGTAGCTGGTGGTCAATTGTTTCAAAGCAGAAATGTCTAGGAGTATGAGTATGGAGTAGTGGCCATTGGTTTTAGCAGTTGGTAAGTCATTAGTAAGTTTTAGGAGAGCAGTTTCTGTGGAGTAATGCAGACAAAAGCCAGATTGAAAGGAGTCAAAAAGATTGTAAACCGTAAGGTGGTATCTTAGATAGTTGTAGACTAGATGTTCAAGAATTCTGGAGGTAAACAGGAGCAAGTAGCTGGGTCTTAAGTTGTTCAGGCGGGTTGGGTCCACTGAGGATTTTTTTAGTATGGGGGTCACCATTGAATGGTTCAGAGGGGTAGGGAACAAGCCTGTAGAAAGGGAGAGATTGAAGATGCGAATAAGAGAGTATAGAATAGAGCTAGAAGGTAACTGGAGTAGTTGAGAGGGGATGGGATCCAGAGGGCAGGTGGTTAGGTGGGTGTTGGACAAAAGTGTAGCAACTTCGGTGGTAGGCATGGTGAGTTCAGTGGGGGAGATGACTGGACTGGGTATTCTGTAACAAATTGTATCAATCTTGTTTTTGAAATTTTTTAACATCACCCGGACAGTGAGTTGGTTGGAGGTTTGGCGGTGGGGTATGAAGTAGAGAGTTAAGGTAGAAAAGAGTTGATGGAGCTGAATGAGAGTGTGCTAATGAGTCTAGTGAATCTGTTTGGCAGCAAGGAGGCAGGTGCTATAGTTTTGGAGGGTAGATTTATATAACGTGACATCTTGCAGGAATTTAGATTTATGATATAGTCGCTGACGAGCATGACTGTATCCATACAGGATAATAGTGAGCTATTGTAAAAAGAAGTGACAAGGTCTGGGCAGGAAAGGAAAAGGAAAAGAACAAATGTCTTTATAAAGTTAGTCTGTTGCAGTGTAGAGAGAAGTGTTAAAGTTGTGGAGGCTTCTTTGGGTAATTGTTTGCTGGTTGGAGGGAAAGGGGGCTAAAGATAGGGAAAGCATGAAACTGATGAGGTTGTGATCAGAGAGAAGAAAAAGGGTGCTAGAAAAATTGCAAGGAGTACCGAGGTGGGAGAATATGAAGTCAAGGGGGTTTCCATCAGAGTGAGTAGCAGTGTGTGTCCATTGCATTTCTGGCCATTTTCAAGCCGTTTGCAAATTTCTGTTAAAAAAAGGATGTGGGTTGAGGAGAGTCTTTTAATGCATTAAGGCTTAAAGGACCATAAATAATTTAAACAACATGCTTTGGGGATGCCTTAAACTTGCACTTAAATTTGCAGAGCAGTAGGATGCACTCCTTTAAAAGTTAGTTTTTTTTTTTTTACAAAAAGCGGCCATGCATTTACTTAGTTACATAGTATTTGAGGTTGAATAAAGACATAAGTCCATCAAGTCCAATATATTGCGTGCACGCTTTTATGTTTGAGCAGTTGTGTGCGTGTATATGAGTCCATGTGTGATTTTGCTCCTAAGAGCACCTGTACCCCCGCATGTTATGGTCTCCAAGGAACTCGTCCAGGAGTTTCTTGAATGATTCCGCACTCTTCGCTGAAATCACTTCCTTCCATTTGTCACAGAACTTAATGCCACAACTAAATGACAGATCCATTCCAGCCTTAGTGGCCAGAAAGGAGGAAGGCAGTGAGCAAGTAACCCTCTCTACTCAACTATACTAGGCCACATGCCTGTTAATTATATTTCCCATTATTTTCAATTGGGATACAGACAGCAATAAAACTTGACAAAGCTTCTTCGCTCTACCCAAAAATAAAGTGACATTAAAGTCACAATTCTTTTCCTCCCCGCACCATGCTGCTTTATGGACTTACCTTAAATTATGCCTCTTGATCCGATCATCTTCTTCCTTCCAGTTGTATTCAGCAATCCCTCCAGCACTGGTGCCAGTCTCTGATCCAGCGCAGACTCTTTGGGTCCCACGGTGTCTGTCCGACGTGCATTCTCCAGGTTATGTGCATTCACCTCCGGTGTGTCTCTCCTCTTCTCACTGCCGAAGATCTCTATTGCGCATGCGCCCGCCCCATCATCCTGCTAGGCCGCTCGAGAAGCTCTAGATCTTCAGACGGGAGCGAGCGGCAGAGACACGGGTAACTAATTACCTTTTTGGTAACTTTTTTATGTTTTTGCATGCTTGCTAGCAATAGATATATGCAAAAAAAACCCAGAGAGTTTAATTATACTTTAAATATTTCATATTTACTTATACTGATCATATAACCACCAAAATCTTCTCATCTGTGTTTTATTTAGTAATGCTTATTTTCTTCTATGCATTCTTGTACTTATTGTGTAGAACTTGTAAAGAAGTATTTGCCATTAGGAGCGGAAATAACACTTGGATGTAATTGTTCATTGCATGGAAAACCCTCTTTCTCTGGATCTTTTCAAAGAAGAAAAAATATGAAAGAATTTGTCCATAATGATAATTTATACATTCAAATATTCGACTTTTCTGAGAAAAACAGGGGGATATATCGATGTGTTTCTGGTAACAATATAATGTCTGTAACATCCCTGGATGTAGAATACAGTCTGCCGAAACACTGCTGGGGCACCTGTGTCCATACTGGAACCCTCTGTGAGCAGGCTGGGACTCTAACCCGGACGCTGGGACTCAGGCGCTGAGCCGAATCTGGTATATGCTGAATATAAGCCATTTACTCTGACTGTTTGTGGAAAAGAATAAAAGTTTATTTTCTGATACGGCTGGCTACGGGTCATATCCGCCCTGAATAATACAATATATATATAT